TCCGATACTTAGGACTCCACCTTGACAAACGACTCACTTGGAACCCCCATACCAGACTGAAACGACTAGAAACCGCCCGACGTTTTCGACTACTGCAGCAGTTACTAGACAAACGATCTAAGCTTTCAATCAATTATAAACGACTCGTATATATGACAATAATAAGACCTATTTGGACTTACGGAATTGAGCTTTGGGGCTCCACTAAACCATCGAATTCCTCTCGTATCCAATCCTTACAATCCAAAATCCTTCGTAAAATCCTCAACGCTCCTTACTTTGTCACAAATAAAATCATCCATAAAGACCTTAATGTTCCATATGTTTCCGATTTGGCCCAATCCAGATACCTGTCATTCCATAACAAACTGCAGAACCATCCGAATCCTCTCGTTTCAAATCTTGCTTCCTCCTCGATCCCTGATAACCCTCCGAGGCGTCTGAAAAGAAGATGGCCTCGGGATCTTCTAATATAGAACTTTAATTTGAGTTCTACCAATGGGTAGTTTTTCTTCATGTTGTTCATGTCATGTTACCAATTTCACATTTACTTATTGTATTTTCTATTTAATACAGTTGTAAATTCCATTAAAATAATTTTAAAAAAAACTTTTTTTCATGAATTGTTTAGGGGATTCACTAAATATACAAAAATATTATTTTGGAAACTAAGAGATTATGAACGAGTGCCGCGCGTCTTTCACGTTCTTAGTAGTTTTCTATTTAGATTTTTATTGAAAAGTTTCTCCATAACGGACTGCACACAGTGGTGCCAAATGGACATGACACTTTTTACGTTCTTCTCTTTATTAAAACTACCAATACCTAATAAGTTCTAAGCTATCCAGGGTCAGGTTTTCTTGTTGTTGAATTGCACGTTGAATTTTTAAAGTATTGAAAAATATGTACAATAGAGGCTGAATTTGGTTAATCCATAATTTCAGATTTCACTGAATTGTTATAAAATCTTTGTTGATGTCCACTAAAATAATTTTCCACTTTTTTAAGGACAGACATAAGCATCGATTGAGCAAAAACAAAAAAAAACACATTTATTTTGCTCATCGGGAACCATTTCACATTGTAGGTAATTTTGGAAGTTCCATGGTAATCCTGTGCATTCCTTTTACTGCAATTTTTTCGATTCCATCCATTATTTGAAAACATTTATTAAGGCGTCTAGATCAATAATTAACAAACAATAGTTGCCACTGTTGACTTGAGGCCCTTTGCAATTAATATTTGTCAACATTTCTCAATACCTGTTACGCGGAGGTAAACATTATAATAAATATTATAACCAGATTAACAATAAACGTTAATGTAGTCCTGTGTCATACGTTATATATCAAATAAAATAAAAAATCGGTGGAATGTGCAGTCAAAAAATTATCAATTATAAGAATAAAAAACAATTCTTGGACGTGTCCACAAAAGCGTTTAAAAAATAAGGTAAGATAAAATAATTTCATATTAAATTTTATGTTGAAGTTCTGAATCCTGTTTCATGTACAAGTATAGAAAAAAATGAAAATATTATTTTGCTCGCTGAAAGTCTAATAATATTGGTATTATCTGAAATTTTCAATAAAAAAATCTATCAGTTTTTGAGAAAATATTTTTTTTGTAGAATGAACCAAATTTCAAATTTATCAAGATAAAAATTACTCACATAATAGAGTATATATAGTAGTGTTGCTATAAAATGAAGAAACAAGAAAATCTGATGAAAAATAGTGGAGTTATCGAATTATGACCAAAAAAATCCAGTTAACGATCGCTGTACGTAAGGAAATTGTGAAGCTCATATTCTGAGAACATTAATTCAGTTTATTGTCGCTTAGCTCCATTATGTATACAGGGAATCCGGTTTTGAAATAGAATTCAGAGTGTAAACCGTTTGATACCATTTCCACTGATTTTGTCAACATGGTTCCGGTTAAATTTCAAAGAGTTATCTTATTAATGAGTGTACCAGAAAGCTCAGTATTCGAAATTTCGACATTCGATTAAAACTTGGTGGTTAGTCATTTTAAATAAATAACGAATACTGTGAACAGCGAGGCAAATACGGAAATGTTAATGCAAAAAAATAATTTTTTTTCGAGATATGCCGATATCTTAAGCCTCCAGTGTTAGCACAATCATTTCGAAGAATTATACTCTTTTCAGCTGACAATACATTTTCGTGATCTCTGAGTGAATATTAAAGAAGTTTTCTCACAAATTAGTTGGATGAGAAATAACGTTCATTTTGAACGAGGATAGCGGAATAATTGTAACGATTTTATCAATCCATAACAATTTGGAAAACAAAATAGTTATGCTAGACCAAACAAAAATTACAAATTACAATTCTTTTTTATTCTATATACAAACAAGTTTACCTTTCTTATGAGCAATTTTATTATGCAAAACATATTATAATTACTGTTTGTAAAAAAATTTTAATTTGTAAATTTAAAAAGAAAAATGTTTTTCTATGCTCTCTATAGCGGTCAATTTTTGATTCCCCGTGAGTGTCTGCTTCTTGTGAAGTGAAGTTTAATTATAGTAACTGTCAGAGTTCTGGGAATTTGGTGATGAGGAAAAAGAAACACAATAGGAAGGAAATAGTTTTTGGGCATGCTTGCCAAAAACACAATCTCTGCAAATTTTGTTACAGGATACGGCTGGAAATTTCAATCCGATGGCAAGACCAGAAAAGGCGTGCCATTCCTCCTGAACTCAAATGGCCGAGTCGCTTGTGCCATAACAGAAAAGCCCCATCAGTTGAAGCAGTAACGTTGGATATCTTTGAGTTCTCTGCACGGCGAAGCTTGAACAGGCCATTTTTAGAAAATTCTGCTACAGCGATGACGTCACCAGTTTCTCGGTTAATTATCTAGCACCTCTCCTCATTCTCAAACGTTGTCCGCAGACCTTTTCGACCAAGTTCGACACATGAAATCAGGTTATATGTAAGACCGGGAACATAGCTCACATTTCTGATGGGAGTCATCTTAGCTTTGCCGCTAACTTCGAGTAAAACCTGTGTATCCCCTACTACAGTAATAGACAATTTTTCACCCGAAGCCGTAGTAATCGTAGATTTTATATTTGGTTCTCTAATATTGGTCAACCAATCCTTTATCCTTGTTACGTGGATCGTTGCTCCCGAATCAATGTACCACTCGTTGGAATCAAGAGGTCCGGTCGCTAAAATTGAATTTTCCAGAACAAGACCCTGGTCGATGGAGGGTTCCCTACTCCTATCCGTATTCTGGTTCCTTCTCCAAGGTCTAGGACACTTATTGCCATAGTTCCCAAACTGGCTGCAATTATAACATTTGATGTGAGCCAATCTTCCCCTGCTAAGCTTTGAGAACGAGGCAGTTTCACTCGGAGATTCGTACTTATTGGCTTCTGCCAAAAGCCTCTCCTTAACTAAATCAGATGTGAGAGTGGCCCCACAATTTTCGAGGGCCATAATAACAGGTTTGAAATGATCTGGTAAACTTACAAAAATCAACGCAGCCAGGACACCATCCTTGATTTCATGGTCAATTGATTTTAGCTGTTGAGCCAACTTCACCTTCTTATTTACGTATTCTGCCATATCCTTACAATCTGAGTATCGTATATTTACCAATTGCTCAATAGAGGCTACACACGAAAATCCTTTAGGTTGATATATTTCTTCAAGCCTCTTCCAGACCTCTCTACCAGTTTTCAACTCACGAATATCCGCAGAAATGTGCGATTTGACACCAGAAACTATTGCAGCCATGGCCTTGTGGCCCAACTTTTCATCAGTTGCCTCTTTTTGCACGTGATCCCACAAATCACAGTTGATTAAGTGAATTTCCATTGCGAATTTCCAGTCGATGTAGTTACTGCTACCTTCTAATTTTTCAAAACCTAAAGGAACGCTTGTACTCGTGGTAGACATTGTAAATAAATTAAAAGAAACGTCCTTGCTTACTTGATTATTTGGAGAGAAAAAAAAGGTAAGTAAAACAAACTTCCTTAACAAGTTCAATTTTTACACTAAAGTTAGTTAAAAACTTTTTAGTTTGCATTAACTGGGCCCATAACCTGTTAGAGTTCTGGAAATTTGGTGATGATGAAAAAGAAACACAATATAAACAAAACGAAAATTTACTTCTGAATCAATTATAACACTACACACATTGGCCTAAATCAACAGATGAAAAAGTTATTAAGAAGGTTACAAAACAAAAACAGTGTTGCCAGGTAGATTTACAATATTGGTGATAGTTATTGTTAATAACCCTCCCCTTCTCCTACACATGCGGCATTGTTCTCCAACAGTAACTAAAATGGGCTAATATTAATAACCATTTAGTCTTTTTTTTCATGAAAATGTGGTTTTTGGTTTGTTTTCTTATCTTGCTCCTGTCCTGGCAAATATTTTAGGGGCGGGGTGGCCGAGCGGACTAACGAGTGTGCACAGCAGTGCGCGTTGCCCGACAACCTGATATCCGAAGTTGGAGACAATAAGATAATTAGGATTTCCTAATTAAATAAACGGCCTGTCTACAGATACTTGAGTTGCAGGAGTACCATGTATAATCAAAGCTCATTTATATAACGCTGGGTATTTAATTGTTTTATTTTCCCAGTAGGATAATAAGTTTGTAACTCTGAGATCGGATTTTCTTTGGAATCCACCTCATATCTTCCAATGGAATGTGTGTAATTCTTCATCCATCTTATCATTTGAACTTTCACTATAGTTTGTTCACTATAGTTCCGGCCCTGGACACATTAGAAAAAACATTGGACTGAAGAAACACGTAAAATAAAGAATTGAGTAGAATACATAGTAATGATGTACTTTTCTCAGTGATTAATTTCTTTGTTGTGTAACAATAAATTGTATTTAACTTCATTGTATTGTATTAAACTTCATAAGAAGACAGCCTCTGTCCATTACAATTATTCTTGAAAAGATTCTATAATCTTCTTCACTACATTTCATTTAACTACTGTTTCAGGAGTATCCGTGACTCGAAGGCAGCTGGCGTGAACGGCTGTGAAAGCGTTGAAGGTCTCTCAGTTGGTCAGCTACGCCTCTGCCAGCTATATCCAGATCACATGTTGGCAATCGCTTCTGGAGTAGCAACTGCCATCACCGAGTGCCAACATCAGTTTCAGTCTCGGAGGTGGAATTGCTCCACTGTCCAGGACTCTTCAGTATTCGGTCCTCTCAACAATATCGGTCAGTAGCAGCTTATTCTACACGTATTTATTATTTTAATAATTAACGCTAACAGATGATTTATTTCTGAATTGGTCTTATTATAAATACTTGCATTTTTTAATAACCTAATCTTAAAGAGAGATGGAAGGGAAATATTTATGGTTACAACTTCCTCTTAAGCAATAGTCTTAACGATGAATAGTGTGACTTATTATGTTTCTAGGAGACCACAAATAAAGTTATAAAAGAACGAAAAATCTTTTTAAAAAATCTATAATGTAAAATAAAGCATATGGACACTTTTTAAAACAAAAATTAACCGCATCTAATTCTTTTTTAATTATGAAATCAGATTCTGTAGTCCCTAATAATATATAAATTACCGAAAATCAGAAGTGCTACATGGTCTGTTGACCGTCAGAGGAGTCTGTGTTTCATAACAAAATTATATTTCAATTTATTTATATATAACTAATTAATAAGAACAATTATATTTACAATGCAAAAGTTATACAAATATTTTAATTACAAAAACAGTCGTACCAAAATTCTCCAATTTGTTAATTGTTAAATTCTCTGGTGAGCATTATATAGGAGAAATCAGACTTGCAGTCATTTACCAATGCTGTCTAGTTGTTTCTGTTTAATAAATCAATCACTTGATCCCGAGATAAATTTCTAGACTTTAACCATTTAATTCTAAATTCAGAGAGTATCGGACAAGCAGCCAGGAAGTGATAGAGATCTTCTGTTTCGTTTGTATTACACATGCTACAATTATTATTTGTTTGCTGGAAGTGTTTATAATTTAAGTTCAAAACGTCAGCTCTAATTTAAATTACACATCTGATCACCTTCAATGAGCTTTTGTCATCAATATAATTTAATGAAGTTAAATGAGGATAAAAGTGAACGTTTTAGAATTCTGAACTTTAATTACATATTAAGTCACATGGAGATTTCTGTTATCGACAGTGGTTTTATGAGGGATGGACGGAATAACGAAATGTGGAAGTTACGGCATGACTGGGTATTCATCTCAACTCGTTGCTAGAAAAAATATAATGACCAAAGCTGGTAGTATATTCCTTGAGAAAATATAACTAAAAAATAAATAACAGATTTTTATTTTCTGTTGGCATTGCAGACCATGTAGATCTTTTACCACCTTAAGAAGCCTGCTCCATATCTGCCGGTATTGAGTTATTTTTTTTCATCTTTATCTGCTCGCAGCTCTATTGCATCTTTGTTGTTTCTATCTATCCATCTGCTTTTTGGCCTTCCACGTCTGGTCTTTTGCCTTCTATTGAGGCATTCATTGTTACTTAGAGGCTTCCAGATGGATTGCTACGAGCTACAAGCTCCGCCCATCTTAACCTCCGTGCCTTCATATCGTGGTATATTGATTGACCAGTTTCTGTAAGCAGTGAACTTGGAGGTGGAATGCCGATACAGCAAATAGCTGTCTACATACTTCCATCCGTAAGCGGCCAAATTTCGCATCCATAAATTCTAATTTTTAAGTTTCGGGAGGGTAGTTTCAGATTCAAGGGGCGAGCTAAGTAGATTTGTAAAACAAAAATAAGAAGCATTTCCCGCCTCTAAACTAGCCTTCATTTCTTCTTCAATTTCGTGTTTTCTAGTTATCATAGATCCTCAATACATAAACTTTGCTGTAAGTTCTAGCGTATTCCGTTCTATATCTGTATGACCGAAGTTATCACCATTTTTGCAGCTAACCATATACCTTCTCTTTTGCGTATTTATTTTGAGCTACAGTTCTTTACGGCTTTCATCAACGTTGTATTCAGTTTTATAGTTTCATGGTTTTCGCTTAGTAATAATTTTAATACTAAATATAATACAAGATAATCACCTTGTTTTAAACCCCAACGAACCTCAAACTGTTGGGATAAGTAATTACCAATTCTGACTTTACTGAATATTTCGGTCATGCATATACTGATTATATTTACTAACTTTTTTTGGCAATCCCTCCTCAATCAGAATAATGTACATCTTCTGCCGGTCAATCCAATCATAAGCCTTTTTGAAATCAATATAAAGCTTGTGAAAAATTGTTTCTCTAATAATTACAGACAAGACATTAATTGATCAACAGTTGAACGATTCCGCCTAAAACCACACTGGTAATCTCCAATAATTTCCTCGGCGCATTAGGATTTATAATTCGACTTATTAGGGTTAAAGTATATGTTTCATAGCATGCCGAAAGGAGCTAGATTTCTTAAAACTTATTAGGATCCATCCTCAGTCCCTTTTCGTGAATCGAAATAAGAATGGATTCTTGCCATTCTTGAGGGATTTTCTCAGATATTTTCAACCAAAAGATGTATTTTGAAATTCCAGCTTCCTCCCCCCCTGCCTTTACTAGTTCACTAGTGATGCTATCGGTTCCCACTGCTATTTTGAAGTTTAATTTTCGACTTCCTCTTTAGTCGGTTCTTCTATTAACGGTCAGCACTCTGATATTCAGAAGGAGGAGATTGATTACTATTTCCAGTATTTAGAGTACTGTCTAAGAAATTTTTAATTTACTTAATATTTCTACGGAATTGTTATTTTATCATCATCCGGTGGCGCTATGGTCCTCGCAGAACCTTGGCCTCTCCTACTGTCCTCCAAACCAAACTGTCTTTGACCGCTCCTCTCCATCCGACAACAGCCAGAAGATCGTTTTCGATATTAAACAACCAACGATATCTAGGCCTGCCTCCATTTCTTCTTTTACCCGGGTGTTCCTCCATCATCATTTTAGGGAGCCTGTTATGTTCCATTCATTGTACGTGACTCAGCCATCATATCATTCCCCTTTTTGTAATGGTTATAATATCTGAGGCATTATATAGCTCCGCAAGGTCTTTCCCACATGATCAGTAGCTTCTCTTTTGATAGTGGGAGAATCCGGGACTCACTTCCATACCCAATAACTAGTTGCAGGACCGTCATGTAAACTCTCTTATTTTGAAAGCTCTTGATATATCCTTATTTTAATAAATTTGTGTCAAGGACCAATTGCACCTTCAACCAACTGTTACCCATGCCTCTATTTCTTCTATTATATTATTGTCCTCTGTGATAAAAAAAAGCCAAAATACTTAAATGTTGGTACTCTTTCGAAACGATATCGTGTCCCCCGATATTTATACTGCCTTTCATCTCCTCTGTTGTTAATATATATTTAGGTTTTCTTTACTTTTTAACAAGTCTTGCTTTTCTTACAGTTTCTTCATATTCCTCAAAGGCTCCTAAGAGTGCATTGAATGTCATTCCTGTAATCATTACAACAACAGTAAAAGCTAGATTTTGAGTCGATCAGTGACATATACATCCTTCTGAACTTGTGCAGTACGATCTCATAACTACTTATATTACCGAATTGAACAGTATTGGAAAAAGAGGGTATCATGTTTTTACACCCTTCTGGATGTCATTTGAAAATTCTCCCTGAATTTTTACTGCAACATCGATATCCTGCTGTGTCATCATAACAAGTTTCTTAAGCCTCAGCGGAAATCCCAACACTTTTAATTTTTTATACAACTTTCTGTCTCTATTACAAAGGCTCGTTTGCAATCAATAAAGAGTTAATCGACATATCATTCATGACAGTTCTTGAATATAACTCTTTTCGGGAAGGTGTGATCTATTTTGGATCTTCCAGGACGGAATCCACGTTAGTATTTTCCTAACACCACAGGCGGATTTACGGGGGAGGCTTTCGGGCTGAAGCCCCCCCCCCCTCCCAAAATGGTAAAATGTAATCATGTTTTATGGTAAAAAATGTAAAAAAATTATGTCTTAAAATATTATTGCTCATTTAATTACATTTAATAGGACTTAAAGAATCACTTAAACACCATTTCATATAGGTAGTTAGTATCTTTCTGTTTTTCTAAAGTAATTATCGTTATATATATGAAAAAAAAAAGCTTCCGGGTGAAGCCCCCCCCCCAAAAATTAAATCCTGGATCCGCTAGTGCCTAACACCTCTTCGACTCTCAACCCTTTCATCAGCAAAGTTGATAAATCTTGAAGGGTACCTATAGACTGTCTACAATAGTAAAATGCCTCTTAGTTTTTGGGCAATCTAGTCTGTCTTCTTGTTTATGTATTAGTAGAATAACCAACTTCATTGTTTTTAGCATTTCTTTCTTTATCCAAATCTCTAAAATCAGTTCATATATTTCTTTGTACAGTGCCTTCTACTCCTAATTTGAGTTCTTCTGCTGGGATCCCATCAATTCTTCCTATAAATGTTATTTAATATTGATCGATGGTTATTTAATAAATTCTCAGTAACTAGATAATTAATAATAAACTTTATTTTATTTTTCAAATATGCATTTTCAATCGATTCTCATTTAACAATTATCTTGCAGGAAGTCGGGAGTCAGCTTTTGTTCACTCAATAAGCTCAGCAGGTGTAACGCATTCCTTAGCAAGACAGTGCAGAGATGGTCAGCTTTCTTCTTGCAGTTGTTCACGTGCAGCCAGACCCAAGGACCTGCATAACGATTGGAAATGGGGTGGATGTGGTGATAATCTAGTCTATGGATACAGGTAATAAATGAAAGAATGCTTGGGCTAAGTAGAGGAATGAAACCCCGTGTATTAAATAATGAAGAATTCTATCTCTTATAAACTAAATAAACTCTTATCTTAAATAAAATCGTATGAAATATGTATATACTTGTTGCTAGCATTTTCTAAAATATTTAGTTTAAATTACAAACAATGCTGCACAAAACTAATTTAAAGGCAGTGAACTATAAAAAAAAAAATATATTGATTTTATCATCTATAAACAGAATTATTACTTGCCAAAGGGCTTTCAAAATATCCAAACATAGAATTTTATTATATACAGGGTGTCCCGTAAGTAGAGGGAAATATGAAAAAGGTTGAAATATGACGATCATAAAGATCTACAAAAATTTTAATATAAACAATTGTCCAATTTCCAGCAGGAAAGTAGGAAATTTAAGATTTGCTTTTTTATTTTTATATAATTTATGCCAATTATCACCAAAAATTTTATTGATACGTTATTTAATTCGACGTTTCGACCATACTAAGGGTAATTTTCAAATCCTTGATGAGTCCTCCGTTATATATTCATCATTAATGTCGCAAATAATATCTTTAGTGAACATTAAATTGTCATGGTCTATAGGGGTTTCACCTACGTCATTTCTGGAGGGACTGAACCCACGTAGGTGAAACCCCTATAGACCATGACAATTTAATGTTCACTAAAGATATTATTTGAGACATTAATGATGAATATACAACGGAGGACTCATCAAGGACTTGAAAATGACCCTTAGTATGCTCGTAACGTCGAATTAAATAACTAATTAAAGGAATGGGCTATCCTCCAGCAAAGGGACATTTCCCGACTGGTGGACAGTATGCCGGGGCGTCTTCAAGAAGTAGTGAAGGCAAGAGGAGGAAACACGCGCTACTAAACGATGATGTAATTAATTTCTTTTAGAATAATAATGGTTCGTTTTCAATTTTTTTTCTCTCTAATCTTCCTTACCCAATCACATTTTGATTATTAAAGGTAAAAACGGTTATAAAATTCCATAAATACTAAGTATTATCTACAAATACCATGTATTATATACAAATACAACTTTACAGAAATATTTTTAGATGAAAACATGGAAAAATCAAGTGGGTATAATTTTTTGCCTGTCAGTGTATATTGGAGTTCTGGCAATGGCCAGATTCTCCATTCAAGACATGAGCGCCTGTTGCTGTAGTGCCCTCCATCAGTTTCCACTGGTTTCAAATAACAGTGACGCGGCTAAGAGAGAAGCACTGGGATCTCCTTGAGTCCTGCCTTGGCTTCAACATGGGGGGATAAGGCATGATTCAGAGTCCCCTGGGTGAATGTAAATATTGTACATAGGTGTGAATGTGTTTTATTTACTTTAATTTCATTTAGCTTTTATCTATTATTTCATTTTCTTGTACACACGCATATCAATTTACTTATTTTATTTTTTTCATATTTCTTTATCTTTATTATCGAAATCTTAGTTATTATTTTTATGTACATATTGTGTGAACGAATCATGTAGCCTTAATATTAATGCCCTTTAATGTGGCAGAATGTATTAATATTCAATAAATAAAAAAATTAACGAACCCTTTTCTAATCCTACGTCCTCTGAACCAATGGGTGAGAGCTGGATTGATGTTACCCTAGCTTCGCCAACGGTGGTCAGACGGATTGTTGATTGAACCCTCAGATTTGAGTTCCAACCACAAAGGGCTGTTGCTGTTATTTCGACTGTTGCAGAAGAAAGTATGTTCTCCCGGCTTGATAAGGGGTACGTTACCCGTAGAAACGACTGGGAAGCTTTCCGAAGTATGCGGGAGGGAGAGATCGTGGATGAGGACTGGGAAAAGACAGAATTGGTAAACACAGATGACTTGGATTACAGAGTGAGCAGGCTTACCGATGCCATCTGCGATGCTGCTGAAAACTCCCTCCAGCACCGGAAATCGAGGTTTCAACCTGTCCCATGGTGGACGCCGGCCTTAACATCTGTCCATTAGTGTCCATTCTTTTACTTTTGATCATTAATTTTCAAAAACAAAATGTATAATATCTTGGGGATAAAACTGGTAGGGTGGAGTTTTGTACAAGGGCCAATCAATGGTGATTTTAAATAATAATTATTGCCATTGGTCAGGTGAAAATATAATAAAAACAAATTAGAGCGGCTGGTGTAGACCCCCATGCTTATGAAAATTCATGAATTCTTACGATGCTTCGTTGTGAAGTCTTTAAATTACATTAAAACTTATAATCAAAAAGTCATGTATTAAATAAATAAAAAGAAGAAGGAATATGATAACAATGAAAGTTTCAATTTAATCGTGACTTATAATATCCATTACTCTTTTAGGTGAAAATTATTTAATTACAAAAAAAGAAATAGGATAAAAAAGCGCATTTTAAATATATTTTTTTTTATTGTTCCTATTTATTATTTAAAATATACTTCAAAATTTTATTATAATCTTTTTTTCCTCTCAGATTCACTCAAAGTTTCGTGGACGTAAGAGAAAGGGAAACAAGGTATCGACGTGGAACACAGAAACAAGGGAGGGCTTTAATGAATCTTCATAATAATGAAGCAGGAAGAAGGGTAAATATATATTTAGATTATTTTACAAATTTGTTTCAAAATGATTCAAAGAGCCAATAAAATATTACTTACCATTTTATGCATGTGTATATACTGAATACATTATTGACATCAACATTGTTAATAATACCTTTATATATCGCATAGGACTTTTACAGGTATATGAAAAAAAAATGCATTAAATAAATAAAAAAGGAAAAACTGAAAATAAATATTGAAGCTAAATATGATGAAGAAATCATCGTCATAAAAAAAGAATAAACGAATATTAAATGTATTTGCATTTTTTTTATATTATATACCTAAAATAAAATGTTCTTAAATTGAGTTTAAAATTATAGAAAACATTTACAATATCAAAAATAATAATATAAATTAGGCCATATTTAGTGACTTTGGTGCAAATAATGATTTTATTTCAAAGGTTTTAGAACTTTTTGAATAAAATATAAATCAATTGGAGGCTGCCTCAAATTGTTGAGACTGCTCCATTGATGTTGGGACGCTCTTTTTACCGGCAAGTTGGTGTTATCAGTTGCTATGTCTGCTCCATTATCTTTTCTCTCTTTGGTGCATTCGCTGTTTTCCAGGCGAAACTGCCTTCGCCGTCTACATTTTTCAGTTAGGCTCCTCGAGAGAAATTTATAGCGTTCAACCATCTATTTCATGGTTAAAGGTGGTGTCACCGTTAGTTAATCTCCATTCATAGTGTACCCTTTAGCCTCTTCGATGCTTATTCACTCATTAATCCCTCTAGCACCTTGATATTTTCACATATGAATTCTCATCTTTCACTGTTTAAAATATACCTTAGCTGGTTATATTCTTGCAGATGAAGAATTTCCTCAGCAGGTTCCGTCCATCTGCCACGCAAAACTCCAAACTTGTAACTGAGGATACCTCGGCAGTACAGTTATGGAATGGACTTAATCCGTAACAAATAATAATATTAATTTAACTTTTATTTTAATGATTGAGTTTGTTAAATATGCCAATTGGTGAATTATGTATTGTATTGACACTTCTCATAACTCAATGGATAAAAGCCCAAAGCTATCCCTAGATAGCCAGGTCAAGCTATCTCTGATAGCTTAGAAATAGTTATCTAGAATGTACCGATTGAACACAAGACCCATTATCAAGACTTAGGGAACAATAACAGATTTCAGCAAAAGGTCTCTGTCTCACAGACTTCATATCAATTCTAAAAAATATGGATACCAATTCTTAATTGTTAATAACTTCTCTCACGCTTCCTTTGCCGTCCTCTTCCGACTTCATTTCGCCCCCCTAATATTCCTGAGTATGTAAACCCCATGATCCGCTGGACTAATCACTCATGCAGTTACATTCTTGATGTCACACTCTTGCCAGGAGACCTGGAGTGAACTCTTGTAGTCAAGCCATATATTAATAGTATTACTCTGTATTTGAAGATGCCATTTGTAACAGACATTATGAATAAAAATATTACTTATAAAGTCTTCACTGCTTCCGACTCGTTAACTGTACTATGATGCCTGGGAGCTCACTTGCTCTTTTACGTCAAACGCCGGTACAGTAAATTAGTTGGTTTATTATTTGACGTTTATTCCTCTAGTCAGTTTGGTCCATGCAAGTATTATATTCCAGTTTTCTATACCTAGCGAGAAATGCTATCCCTATCTTCCACATTTTATTGAAGCCATCTTGATGATCGTCTGAATATAATTAATTAATTTATATTAAATGTGCGAGTGTTAAATTTAAATCTGTGAGTACTATTTTAAAAAAGTAGTAGTGGAAATAAAATAAATTTAAAAAAACAAGTTATTTGATAATAATATAAAGTATGGCTGTCTTTTTACTTCACTACTTTTGTTTGATTTTTACATCGTCTACGTTTCGTCTAGTAAGCCATTTTCAAGCCATTCCATCATTCTGTAATCCACTAATAGTGCTTAAGTCTTCTTTAAATAACTTCCAAATCTCCTTAATCCTTGACCCATTAGCAAATCTTACTATCTATTCATGATTCTTTTCAGTCTATCTACGAGTACCCCTAAGAGGCCACCGTGCACCATGCAGCCATAGTCAAGGTGGGGGAAGATGAGAGAGTATACTAGGAGTCTACTAGGAGTACTACTGTTCTAGGATGTTGGAAACTTGCGATTACATTATTCTTTCCAGGAGTTTTGAAAGGTTACAAAGGATTGAGTTTGGGCGGAAATCTTCGGGGGAAGAAGAATTAAAATTTTTAAGTAAAGGACGGACTATAGTTTGTTTCCAAGCTGTCGGAAATGCTGAGTTCTGAAGGGGGAAATTATAGATGAAAAGGAGAACGGGCAGGATTTCGGGCAGAAATAATCGGATATGATGTCTGTGGGCGAAATATCTGAAAAATAAAAGTCGTCACTTCGTTCGCCGTTAAACGAAGTTCCAGGAGATTAGAAGGGAAAGGTTAAAAGAGGAGTGGAAAAGGAAGCAGATATAAAGTGTGAACTTAAATCATCATCTGAAACTGGAAAGGCTGCAGAGGAGGGGCCGCTTTACTGCCGCCAGAATTTCTGACGGTGTTGGCTCAGTGGTGCGACAGGTTTTCACCGCCTGTTGTTATATTTTTAGGATGGTCACAACTCGAACAGACCCATACTTTTTTAAGGATTTTCTGGCCTCAAACTATTTTTCACTAATTTTACAGTACCTGCTGTGAAATAATAGCTTACACTTAGCACAACATAAAATATTCTTTTCATCTCTAACGATGTTGCTGCTACATATCGGGCAATGAGCCATATTCTTATATAGTAAATAGATCGTACTTACAATTATAAGACCTGTTTTTATGATGTGGAAGACCAACAACAGGGCTTAATCCAGAGCTCGGTTGCTTACCACAGTTCCGTAGCTCGTGATAACTTATCAAACTTCAATATCTCGATAAATCGGGAGGAAATACGAAATGTCTATGATTTATATGAATAAAGATTGAAAAAGAAACAAATGTGGCAAAAATCAAAGCAATTGGAATGAAATAAAACACTTAATAATACAGAGATATGTTAATTGATGGCTTTCTCTGGCCTGATTGATAACAGAATACAGTCGAAATACTTTTGATTATTCTAAGTAATAAACTTAAAATTGTTGGACCGACTGGCCCTCCCCTCTCCTTTATGATATGAATAAGGAGGCGGGAAATGCTCTTGGGCCTAAGAGCGTTCGAATTTCAAACTCAGCCCTGGATGAAAATCATATATTGTGGTATGCCGAGCCTAAAGCTAGCTTCCATAATCATGAAAAACAACTGAATCCAGTTCAATCTGATACCAAGATGTAGGTTAGTTATACGTCCTTAGATTTAACAAAATCAAAGCTAAAATAGACAGATTAAAAATGTATGTATTCATATTGTACTTCATCTTGGCTTTTTGCATTTATACCAATATCTGAAGTGTCTTTAGGGTGAATTAAAAATCAGTAAAAAAAGCTTTGCCAATAACAAACTAAAGTGAGAACAACGTATATCGTTTTTAAAAAACAAAGGACAGAGAAAATTTGCATGAATTTATTAAGGTACTGAAAAAAAAAGAGGCATCGCCCGCTGGCAAGGGTGCCCATCCCCCACTAAGATCCATGGAGCATGAATCTTTCCTCTCCTCCTACCGAGACATTTTATTGTTTTCCTAAAAAAAGTGCAAGTGAAAGTAAAATTACAAAGATCTTAGATCATATACAATTACACTTGCTGCAGTCTGTTATATGTTTTCTCCTGGTCCGCTGATTTGAAACATTCATTCCAAAAATTCATAACCCCATCCAAATTAGTTATCAGTGGTCTGCTCTATTCTAAACTCATATAACCCAAATTGGGCTTTCACTTTTATTACTACATCTGATTAAACTGTATTAATAAATATTCCATTATTAACAAACATATTCAATTGCAATATTTATCTAAAACATGTTATTTCTTTCCAGGCTGTAATTGTGATGTCACGTGTTACTTGCAAATGTCATGGAGTTTCTGGATCTTGTAGTCTGATAACATGTTGGCAACAATTGCCATCATTTCGAGAAATTGGTAAACATTTTTTTTTTCCTTAACTGCATTGTTGGATATCTTTGAATTTGATAAATAAATTACATTTTCCTAATTAATTAAAATATATATATATATATATATATATATATATATATATATATATATATATATATTACACTCATACTATTTATTATACTAACCACTTCTGTATATTTATATCTAAGTTTTACTTATTGTCCTACGGTTTAACTAGTATGCTATAACAACCCAATATAATTGGGCAGCAAGTGTTTATATTTTATATGAAAATAAAGTTTTTCTCTCTACTACAAATTGTAGATATTACCTACTGATTAAATAAAGCTGTTAGAGATATTTAATTTTCATTTAATTGAACCATCAACTTTATATTTTGATATAAAAGGGTGCTGCCCGATTATATTGGGGGCTTGTAACACACACATACACACACACATACACACACACATATATATATATATATATATATATATATATATATATATATATATATATATATATATACTGAACTGGTTGAATGTATATAACAAATACATATAGTTATTTCACCAAAACTTGACTCCCTGTGTAAAGGACAGAAGGCTGTTAGTGACAGACTCATGCGAGTGGAAGTATGTAGCGGAGAGGTCTCATACTCTCTACTCATAGCATATGAGCCAAATGATAATGCCACTAGTCTTGAAAAGGAAGCATTTTTCGACCCTGTCCAATATGAGATTGATATATGTAAAGGCATACCAATAATTATGGGAGACTTGAATGGAAGAGTAGGAAAGGACTCGATCAAATGGGGTGGCACTTTTGACCGGATGGTGAGAAAAGTTGTAACACCAACGGCAAAAGAATTCTTAACTTTTGTCTTGCAAATGATATGCCAGTTGAAAACAGCTTCTTCCCACACAAAAAGATTCACAAATATACAAGAGAGGAACCAAGTCGAAATAAAAGATGTATTATTCACTATTACCTAATACAACTAGAACAAAGAAAACATACATAGACATAAGAGGCTACGAGAGAGGTAGCGACCATCGGCTACTTATAATGGATATAGTCCTCAATAACTCCCCAATCACACCAGGACCGTCAAACCGGACAAATAAGTTTAAAATTAAATATTTTAAACTCAGGGAGCCAGAGGTGATACAGGCATACCAGGACAATTGGGACAGTGACAACGTAGAAGAATCTTGGTCAGCAATCAAGATAATAATACTGGAGGCAGCGGAGATGACATGTGGAAAAAGCAAGCTGGAACATAGGTCAAAGAAAACTGCTTGGTGGGAATGAGAAAATGAAACATAAGAAAACCCTATGGAAGAGATGCCTGTAAACCAAGTCAGACGTGGCATATTCCGAGTACAAGGAGCAAAGACAGAAAGTGAAAAGACCGTGATAAGAGGAAAGAAAAAGTCATGGGAAGAGTTTGGAAAAGGGAAAGTTTGGGAAAGTTGGAAAGTAACTATAAGGAAAACCAGAAACTTTTCTACCGAAGCCTCAGGAGCCTGAGGAAGCAGATCAAGGACATAAATGGAGACATCTTGAATAGGTCAGAAAACATTATGAATAGGTGGGCGGAATATTTGAAGGAATTACTGGAATATAACGGGCAGGAAATGGAAGCAAAACAACAGTTTTGCAGCACTGAAGACACCTGGGAAGAAGATGACTGCATTGGAGAAGAAGAAGCTGCCGAGGCTATAAGCTCATTAAAGCTGGGAAAAGCAGCTGGTATAGACGGCATTGTGCCAGAAATGTTGAAATATATGGATTTAAAAGGAATCAAACTGTTCCAGCACCTCTTTAACATAGTTTGGAAAAAGAAAGTTATCCCAAAGCTCTGGGAAGTCTCCATCATAATCCCAATTTTCAAAAAATTATATATATATATATTCTAATAGTATTAAAATGTTTAAAAGTATACAATAGAAACAAAAGTGTATAAACAACAAGATAAAACAAGAAGTAATTTGGGCCGAAACGTTGGCAAAAATAAAAATATAAATCATTTATTCATTTTTACTTTTTATTTTTTTGACTGAACATCCTAACCAACTTTTATTCAATTTTCACTAAATTCAAACATCAATCCACTATTAAGAATTAATTTTGTTCTTTTTAGGTGACTATCTACGAGATAAATATGATGGGGCTACTGAAGTTAAAGTAAATAAAAGAGGAAAACTACAAATTAAGGATCCGAGATTTTCTTTGCCTAGTGCAAATGATTTAATATATGTTGAAGAATCACCAAGCTACTGTGTCCCAAACACAACTGTTGGCTCTTTAGGTAAATATATAAATTTATGTTTCTTTAACATTTAATTTAAAAATCTGATCAATGTTAACATTTAAAACATTTTTTTTTTAATTATCCAAATTATATAATCATTTCATTTGTATTACAATATTTTCCTGTTAAATAATAATAATGTACTTAATCGATTTTAAATACCAACTTATTAAAATCCTACCGGTCCCTTAAATCGGTTCCTACCGTGGGTAGCAAAAATAAATAATCTTAAATTTTGAACATGTATATTTGATTATAATAAGGACATACATTTTTACTCCTTTTGGATATAACCTTTTCAATGAACTTATTCTCCTTGCCATTTAAACATTGGATTTTCCAACTATACAATTTCCAACCCATATCAATTGCCAAAAAGACTATTCAACTGAATTTTAATTTTAAGAAATAATCAATTACGTTTAATTTTTATTACTATCTCATATTGGGTCATTTAATTTCAAATATCGAGCCAAAAATGAAAAGGTCTCAAATTTTTATGATATATATATACTTGTACATATTGCTAAATTTTTTTGTGTTATTATATAAGTCTTTCTGAAAATTTTGGTGCTAATATCGTTATTATATGATAAAATAGTTAAATTTATAAATTCTTTTATAACTGAACTGTATAAGCAATACTACAATTGATGAAAATCAAATAAATTTGCTTTTCACACATTCTGGAACATTAATATATCAAAAAGTATTTAAAGTATCAATATATAATTTTGTAAGGTTAACAAGTATGGTAATATAAAAAAATATGCATATATATGTACAGTGCTGTGAATAAAGGCTCCTATACACAGAAGGCGATATGTCCCAGTGATACGATACCCTTTGTCGGTATCGCTGCGGATTATGACCCTCTCAGTAATAGCTTTATACACTAGATATTAATATAACTATATAGCCATATCACCACTGACAGGAATATTGTATCGCTGATACATATCACAACCTGTGTGTAGGTGCCTTAAGACTTCTAAGAAACCAAATTTTTTATAAAAATGGTAAATGTTTCAATTTAAAAGTGTTTTTATCTTCATATTTGTAAACTTATTTAGCCTTGCAGACATTGTAAATACAATATATTGTGACATCTCTCTTATATTTTACAAATAATAATAATATAACCTCGGAAGCTCACTTCTTACCATTGGGATACTTCCTAAATAAATAAGAGGTTGTTTAATAATAAACAAAATTATAAGAGAATTAATATATTTATTTATCTCAGGTGTGGGTTACTGACAATCAGATCAACTCAGACAAACTATTGTTATTTACACTGTGTATACTAAAATTAAATACTGATTTTAAAGTAAAGTCAAATATGGATTGGCAAGCTTACCTTTTCCCATATTATGTTTCTTCCTTTGTGACACTGAACTCATTTGCCTTCAAACACTTTCCAAAGTCCTGCCAAACAACTCTTCCAAATTGGTAACACTATTACTGGATTTTTCCCACTGGAGCCAGGATCACTTCTCTTATCGTCTCTTCACTACAGTCACACAACAACTGCTTGCCAAAACAAAAACCTTTGTCCCTCTCCTCTTTGGGATTTTCCTTCTTGGGAAACTACAGAGAAGCCATTTTCTTTTCCCTGCACTAGTAGAACTAGATTAGCTTGCCTTTTAATTGTTCAACATTAATTTATTAAATCATTTTTACCCACTTCCAATAAAGGTGTACATTACAATATATTTGAATTAGCATTATTTTCTATTAAAAACAAGCTTAGGGACCATTCCGCTGTGTTGACGTTTATTCAACCTCTAAATAATAAATAATGCTACATTATAGTTTAAATTTCACTACTTTGTTATCTACTTCAGTCTTTACTGTTTATTGTTAACATCAAGAGCCGTTATATAAACTCTAGAAAGTTGAGTGTATCTGTGAAAATTGTTCCAATATTGGAATTCTTCGCTTTTTTGGGGGATAATTTGATTTAACATTCCATGTTTCATAATTTATATTTGTTTTCTATTTAATGTTACTTTTATTTCAGGCCATATATTAAAATATCATATTTTTTATCCTTATCTTGATGAAAATGAAGTTCTACCCCATCAGCTTAAGCCCAGATGATTTATCGTTTTCACAAGAGATCTCCACCTCCAGATCTAGAAACACATACCCAAACCATAAAGAAGTAATTTCCGTGTTTTGTTGTTGGTTGCAAATATTCAACCGAAAATTACTTTCTAGATTATCTCAAAAAGACTGCCTCCTCCTGAAACCAAGTATTTCAAATTTTGACTCCTATCTCCATAAAAATTTGTTCCATTCTTGCTTTTGGAATTTATCCAAGTCCAATCTTTATGTCCTGTTGTAAACTTTACTAGCTATTTCTTGTTTATAGATTAAAAAAATGGTGCTCTTCAGGCTACACAACCTTTAAGTCCAAATAATAGAAGTTTCTTTCTAATCAAGTAGGACATAACTTGGGTCCTTGAAGTATTGACTATTTCCAGCCATTTCTGTGCTAAATTTTTAGAGGTTGTCCAAACACAATAATTTTAAATGTTTTTTAGACTTACCTGAACATTTCAAATTTTCAGTTAACATGATTTTTCAAAACTTTTTGATGACATAATAAATTCCAGGAAATATATCCTTCAACATCTTTTTGGATTTCTCTGATTGTCCTCATTGATGCAAAATTATAATTTTATGGTGATCAGTGAAATGTTATTTTGCCGCTTTCTGAAATAAAAGTAACATTAAATAGAAAACAAATATAAATTATGAAATATGAAATGTTAAAATTAAATTACTGAAAAAAAAAAAATTCCAATATTTGAACAATTTTAGAGATACACTCAACTTCCTAGAGTTTATACAATGGCTCTTGACATTAACAATAAAGAGTAAAAACTGAAGCGGTTAACAAAGTAGTGTAATTTAACCATTACATTATTCAAATTATGAAAAAACGTCAACACAACGGATTGGTTAGTTGTTGATTGAAAATAATGCTAATTTAAATATATTTTACATCTACAATGTCTCCAAGGTTTATTTTTATTATTTATAGTCAGTTTAAAACTAAGAAAATAAAAACACTCTTAAATCAAAATATTTACCATTTTTATAAAAATTTGGTTTGTTCGAAGACATATTCACAGTACTTTATATGTATACACACAATGCACACACACACACACACACACACACACACACACACACACACACACACACACACACACACACACACACACACACACACACTCTCACTCACACACACACACACACACACACACACACACACACACACACACACATATGAGAAGGAGTAGGTCGAGGGGTGCGGTCAAATAATTAGAAATTTTTTAAAATAGCATGTTAATCATTTTTAAAAATTTAGTATTTATTTGACCCCTCCCTCTCCCTCTCTCCCCCGACCAACTCCTTCACATATTATATCACGGTCAACCATCTCTACACCATTATATGTTGTTTAATATCTCTTGTTTTTTAACTAATAACATAACTTCAGAAGATCACTTCATAGTGTTAGGATACTTTCATAAGAAATAAGAGGTTGTTAAATTGTTAAACAACAATTTTTTTTTTTCCTCCCCTTCCTTGCCTTTAAGGCTAGACGGGGTTTCCCAGGTCCAGGGTGTACAACTGCTTGTTCTAACAAAAATCCTTTGTTCCTCCCCTCTTTAGAATTTTCCTTTTTGAGGAAATTACAGATCAGCCATTTTCTTTTCCCTGGACAAGTGAAAATATTTTTCAAATTTAAACATCCACTGGCATTAGCAGAACTAGATTAGCTTGCCTTTTTATAACTGTTCAACATTAATTTACTAAACCATTTATACCAACTTCCAATAAAGGTGTATATTACAATATAAACCTTATTACATTATTATTACCTTATTATATTACAATATATATATATATATATATATATATATATATATAAGATAAAGACCGGAGACCGGCGATATCAGCCTTAATGCCGTCCTGAATGTAAATAAACATATGAAATGTATATAAGGAGGATTACTAAAGGAATAAATCAGTATCTTTTCTGAAACCGTGAGTGTTGCATTTCAAGCCCTTTCCTTTCTTTTTTTTTATTGTTAGAGTCCGCCGACGCTTAACTGGTGCCGAAACCCGGGACTACGACAGGAGAACAGAGAAGTAATTTTTTTTTAAAGTCATTTTTTTTTCTCTCTGGTTTTTTTTCTTCTCCTAGTCATAAGGAAAGAGTGAAATGCCAACAGAGGGCTTAATCAGGCCGGGAGTGTTGAGCGCCCCGGAAATCCCTCAACCTCAAGAAATTCCGCAGATACCTCAGATCGCGCAGGCCCCTCAGGTTCCTCAGATACCTCAAATACCTCAGGTACCGCAGATTCCGCAGATCCAGGAGATCCCTCCCTTACCGAGGGACACATTGGCAGAAGCGCACGCTAACGCGCTGGAATGGATGAAAATAAGAGCGGCGACCACGCAGGACCTACGAAGAGCCATTGCGGACCTGGAACGCTTCGGTGGCGAGGTAGGTGAGCTTAACCATTTCCTGAAAGGCGGAGACCGCCTCATGTCTAGAATAGAGGTAAAGGTGGCGGAGGACCTGGTAAACCTAGGGGACGCGGAAGCGTTGAAAGCGGCTCTGGTGTGCCGAGTAAGGAGGAGCATCCTGAACCAAATTCAGGCGGACGAGGAGACACCATGGCCGGTGATTAAGGAGCGACTGAAGAAGGCCTTCGGAGGAGGCAGATGGACGCCGGAGGAAGACATCTTCCAAATGTTTAGGGAGCGCCGGTCCCAACGTCAGACGAGGGGCCAGTATGCGGGGGTACTAGTGGCAAAGTACAACCGCATAACGGAGAAAATGCGCGAAACAATGAGTGTGGGAGAGGTGGAAGCCAGGATGGAGTTCCTCTCGACGATACTCAAGGTCCAGTTGGCGAAGGAAACGGGGAGGAGAGACGGATTGCCCAGGGAGAGATCATTCCTCGAGTGTG